TATTTTCTATTGTTTATTGATGATTATAACCGCATGAGTTGAGTATATTTTTTGGAATTAAAATTTAAAATATTTGATAATTTTTAAAAATTTAAAGTACCTATAGAAAGGTAAAGTGGTGGATGTATAAAGACACTTCGGACAGATAGATGTGGTAAATATTTATATAATGAGTTTAATTCTTTTTATGAAGAAAATGATATTAGTAGAGAATTGACAATACCATATACACCGAAGCAAAATAGTGTAGCTGAACGTAAGAATCGAACTATCATTGAAATGACAAGAAGTTTGCTTAAAGGAAAATATACTCCAAATCGATTTAGGGTAGAAGTAGTTGCAACAGTAGTTTATTTATTGAATATTTCACCAACAACAATTTATTTATTGAATATTTCACCAACAATAATTTATTTATTGAATATTTCACCAACAAAGGTTGTTATGAATTAAACTCTTTTTGAGGCTTGGTATGATAAAAAATCAAGTGTAAGTCATTTAAGAATTTTTTGTTGTATTTCTTATGCTTTGGTGAATTCACAAACCATCACAAACTTAATGAAAAATCTGAAAAATACATGGTTATTTCTTACAATCTAAAGTATATTGATTATATAATCCTGTTAGTGGTAAAATTATTATTAATAGAAATATTGTGTTTGATGAAAGGACAAGTTAGAATTGAGAGACCAATAAAAGTGAAACATAAATTCAGATTCTAACCGAATTAGAAACTCCACATGATCAAATGACGAATCCTACTCCAACAAGTTCATTGTCAGCCTCACCTAATAGTAGTTTAAATTCTGATTGCAATGAAGAAGGAACTGAAAAAGAGGAATGATGAAAAGTAATGAAGAAAGAAATTAAGTTAATTGAGAAGAATGAAACTTCGGATCTAATGAATCTACTAAAAGAAAAGAAAGCTATTGAATTAAAATAGATGTTCAAAATAAAGTTTAATGCAGACGATAGTATCCAAAAGCATAATGCTCGACTTGTAGCAAAAGGATGTTCATAGCAACAAGGTATTGATTTTGATTATACTTTTTCTCCGGTTGCTAGATTCGAAACTGTGAGAACTTTCTTGACTTTAGCTACTCACTTGAGTTGACATGTTTATCAATTTGATATGAAATATGTGTTTTTAAATAAAGAATTATACGAAAAGGTTTTTGTTACTCAACCTAAAGGTTTTTTGGTTAAAGAACATGAAGAAAAGGTATATAAGCTAAAGAAAGTCCTTTATGGGCTTAAACAAGCTCCAAAGGCATTGTACATTAAAATTGATTATTATTTTCATCAAAATAGAATTAAGAGGAGTAATAATGAACCTACTCTTTATCTAAAGAAGGAAGGTAAACATAATATTCTAATGGTTTGCCTCTATTGATGATATTATATATATGGGTTCATTTAACTCTTTTATAGCATAATTTAAAAATTATATAATGAATAAGTTTGAAATGTCAGATCTAGGTCTACTGCACTATTTTCTTGGGTTGGAAGTGAAGCAAGGATCAGATAAAATTTTTCTTTCACAAAGAAAGTATGCAATGAATCTACTCAAAAAGTCTACCATGATTAATTGTAAAGTTGCAACAACACCCATGAATGTAAATGAGAAATTGAAACTTGAAGATGATACATGTTTGACAAATGCAAGATACTACAGAAATTTGGTTGGAGGTTTGATTTATCTAACTTATACTCGACTAGATATTACATACTCGACTAGATATTATATTCTTTGTTGGTATAGTATCTAGGTTTATGCATAACCTAAGCAAACCTTATCTCGGAGTTGTTAAAATAATTCTACGTTATATTGCTAGAACTATAGATTATGATATTTGGTATTATCATAATTTTAAATATAAATTATTTGATTTCACTGATAGTGATTGGACTAGAGCTTTAGATGATAGAAAAAATACTTCAGGTAATATTTTTAGTCTCGAATCAGGAGCTATATCTTAGAGTTCAAAAAAGCAAGCAACAACTATATTATCAACATCAGAAGCAAAATATGTAGCTGTAACATCAGCAGCTTGTCAAGCAATATAGCTTAGAAGACTTCTAGAAGATCTTCATTAAGAATAAAAAGAAATAACGAAAATATTTTGTGACAACAAAGCCACAATTGCAATGACAAAGAATCCAACATTTCATGGAAGAACGAAGCATATAGAGATACGCTATCATTTCATCCGGGATCTTGTAGCAAATAGAGCCATAACAATGAAGTATTGTGGAACAAACGAACAAGTTGCAGATATCCTCACCAAGTCACTTCTAGTTTAAAAGCATGTTTATTTCATGTCGCAAATCAGTGTATGTAACCATGAATCAAGGGGGAGTGTTGAGAATTGATTCATAGTAGTTATCTAGATAGTTACCATATTCTAGGTAGTTATAAGCATATTCTAGGTAGTGGCCTATGATCTAGAAGTTATAGGGTAGTTCTTACACCTAACTCAATCATGGGTGACATGGTGGAGTGAGGCAATTACCACTAGGTCCTATAAATAGGACCATATTTCATGAAGCAAGATAGAGTGTGTGCACTTAGGAATATCTTATAAGTGTTCTGTCTTTCCTCTTGTTTAAATATTACATTGGTTTTCTTGATCAAAATGATTCTTTTTAATTATATTTATTTTTATCATTTCCTTACTCCTCCATCCTCAACAATAACAACCCGCCAAACAAATATTAGTAGCGTGTCATGGTTCCACAAAGTGTTGCTACTGAAGGTAGTAGCATGTCATGATTCTACTACATTACAATGTTTGCAAGCAGACGAGGAACATAAAAGAATAAATTTAGAGATCGAACTAGATAAATAAGATAGGAAATTAGATCAACAATATAGACAGATTTTTCAAGCATCATTTAGTCAAAATCAGATAATACCATTTTGCAACCAAAGTGTGTTAACAAACAAATCTAGATACAAAACAGATCTGACGTACTTTTATGATAAGGTATTTTATTTCAAAACATAAAAGTTATAACCATACTTTTGTTATGTGAAAAAAATTAATATCATAATCAAGATCAAATAATGATAGATTAAGATTAAGATTAAGATTAGATACCTTTTGATGTAATTCAGAAAACCTTTATCTGATCTGCATCGTTATTGGATCTGAAAGCTAAAACAATATCGATATCCTTCTTTTATTCTATAGGACCACTGTAAGTGATATAATATGAACTATAATAAGATAAAAGAATATATATAATATCTTAACATATACGTCCTTATAAATTCCTATCCCTCTAAGGTATTCAGGATTTATAATATATTTTATTAAATTAAATAAAATCATATAATCTAAAAATAAAATGATAGAGGATCTCTGCTCTCGGAGGGATAAGAGCAGATAAGCACCGACAAACCATTTCCTCTGAGACGAGCATGAGCCTAAATATGTCTAGATCACAATAGGAGGATGCAACTATCCTTGCTTGGCACAACGCAGTTCTTCACCTTTTTCTTCTCTAGCAGAAACAGGTGAATGAATCTATTGCTTTCACCTTTTTCTGGTTTTCCCTTTTTCTTCTCTAGCAGACACAACGCAGTTCTTACCAAAGAATGAATCGATTGCTTGGCAATGCATTTTGATATCCTTGTTTTCGAGATATCATGTCAGTTGGCATATTTATATCATATCACAGGACTCATCAGTATCATCAGCACTAGTGTTGGATTACCTATTGACAATGTTGTCGACAGGATCTAAGCCAAGCAGCACAATCTGTTGATTAAAATTCATGCCTCTATTGGCCTGAGGTTTCAACCCTGGCTTCTCTCAATTTATGTTAAAACAGCTTTTTCCTAACACTCTAAGTTTCTGGATTTTGCAAGCATCTAATTAATCTGTGTAAGATGGTATCGAAGTAGATCATGAGTTTCGATGCAGTGAATAATACCAATATTATATCTTATTTTCACAGGTTATATTGTTTAGTGCAATGGAGATCCCTCTTTTGCATGAAACAAAACCTGTTCTTGATTGAGTCTGAAGTGTATATATAAAATTGGAAGTCAATGCATTTTCCAGCTCTTTAACAACTCAGCTACCTATTTGCCACACATGCAACAACACTTACTAAATATTACTTAATTAATATATTAGTAATATCTTTAGTAATTGACTCACACGAATCTGAGTTGAACAAGTGAATCAGCATTATGTATTATGGAATATTCATTTTATTTATAAATAATTAAATAAATTTATTAGTCTTTTATATGATAGATTTGTTATTATATATTATTTACTGATAATATTATTTTAGTTGATGAAGACTTAAGTGAAATTAATTATAGACTTGAGATATGAAAACAATCTTTAGAAATTAGAAGTTTTAAATTAAATAGAATCAAAACTATTATATTGACTACATTTAAAATTAAAAAAATAAATTATTGAATAATTACGAGGCCAATAATACTTTATAAATTCAAGTGATGATTAATAAAGAAATAACATATACAAAAAATTTATATTGTCAGAATAAAAATATTAAAATAAATATATGAAGTTATAAAATATTTTTATTGCTGAATAATTAGTTATTACTTTAATAGAGGATAAGAGTAAAATCAAAATCTTAGTATAAGTATGTGTTTTGAAAATCTTCAGATGCTTTAATTAGAAAAGAAAAAATAATTAATATTAGTAATATAAAAAATAAAAAAAAGGATAAAAAATTAAAATAGAAATTATAAAATTATAATTTTTATCGATCTTAACGATGATAAAAGATCTATACATTTTAAATAGTTAAAATTTGATATTTATAATAATAATAATAATAAATTTTTTTTTAAAAGAATAAATATATATTTTTTAGTTATTGTCGTCGTCGTCGTCGTCGTCATAATTGGCCAATAAATTATAATAGATTTACCGACTTACTTTAACAAAAATAATATGGTGATGATTTGATATAAATATCTAATTAGTGATTAGCTATGGCTCTCTGACTTGGTATCAAATCGCTTTCCGCTTCCCGACGACCACCGCCTCTCACTCTCCCCCTCACCCCGCGTCGAATCTTCGGCGGCGATGGCGGTTCGCGAGTTCGACCTCATCATCTTCGGCGCTTCCGGATTCACCGGCAAGTACGTCGTCCGCGAGGCCCTCAAGTTCCTCTCCGCCCCCGGCCCACTCAGGTCCCTCGCCCTCGCCGGCCGCTCCCCCTCTAAGCTCGCCGCCGCCCTCCAATGGGCCGCCTCCCCCTCCCCCCCTCCGCCCCTTCCCCTCATCCCCGCCGATGTCTCCCACCCGGACTCCCTCCTCGCCCTCTGCCGCCGCACCAGGCTTGTTCTTGACTGCGTCGGTCCCTTCCGCCTTTACGGAGAACCCGTCGTCGCCGCCTGTGTTGAGGCTGGCACCGACTACCTCGATATCTCCGGCGAGCCCGAGTTCATGGAGAGGATGGAGGCCAAGTACCACGAGCAGGCGGAAAAGGCGGGGTCTTTGGTGGTCTCGGCGTGCGGATTCGACTCGGTGCCGGCTGAGATGGGGCTCATGTTCCATTCTCTGCAGTGGGTGCCGCCTGCGGTGCCGAACCGGGTAGAGGCGTACTTGAGCTTGGAGTCGGAGAGGAGGATCGTGGGAAATTTGGGCACGTACGAGTCTGCGGTTCTCGGCGTGGCCAATGTTCGCCAGTTGCAGGACTTAAGGAAGTCAAGGCCAAAGCGAGCTCGGCCCATGGTGAGTCTCTTTTCTTATATTTTCTTCTTCTTTTTGCTTGCTTGTAGTTGTGATGTATGATCTTAGAGTTCCTTCCCTCTTATGATGTTCTTTTAGTGGAATCATTGAGAAGACCGCTAAAATGTTCGCTAAATGTGCTGCTAATATCTATTTTGATTATCTGATTATGATCATGTGTTTGTGAACTATACCGAGTCGTAAATCTCAATTTTTATCTGCATATAGTGATTGGCCATAGACTCTTATGAAGACATTTTCTGTAAACATGACATTTTTTCCTTAAAGTCCTTGGAGTGCTCCTTTTCCCATAACCTGGATAGCAAAAATAGGTAGAGGGGTGGTTCAACAATTTAACAACGAATGCAGACTTTCTTCTGTCAGATCTGTGGCTGGGCTATTGTGTCTGCTCAGTGTTCCAAAGAAATTTAAACTGTCCTTTTATAGTTTCGTGTAACTCTATGTCACTTCTTTCTCTCCCCCTTTTTCTATTATGTTTCATCAAATGGCCTTAAATTAATTCTATATTAAAATTAATTCTATATAGTCTATCATGCATAGCTAGACCCTAGGTGTATTCTATAGATACTAAGTTCGTTGTCTTCCTTTTTCCTTGTTTTTCTTTCTACATTCTCGTGGCATATATCCATACACCTGTGGTTTGGTTTGATTTCAGTTCATATTTCTGGTTTTGATTGTGAAACTATATTTTGTTCCATAGATGCTTAACCCTTGTTGTTATGTCGTTACTTTGCATTCCAAAATACACATTTATGTTGAGAGAGCCCTTTAACTTGAATATCATGTTATGATATAGAGGGCAATACCAGTGTTTAATTATGCCATTAAAATACTAAGCATATGAATAAATAAACAAAAGTTGTTGATGGATTAGTTCTATGACACAAGGACACTTTTGTAGTGTCTATGACACATAGAATTACTTGAATAGGACACACAGGTTCTCACGATCCAACTTAAGTGTCATGTGCTATCATGATCCAACTTTGTGTGATATCTAACCTATTCACTCATCTTGCTCAAATGCAGAAGCTTATGTTAGTACCAATATATTTGTCAACCCCTTAGATTAACTTAAGTATTCCTCCACTTTTGATGTAGGACCAGGTGATACAATCTTTCTCACCTGAGGACTTGACGGCCTCATCAATGATCAATAAAGCCCAGAAATAAACTTAATATGGTGCATGTGAAGTCCAGCCTAGTGATCGCTTCACACCATGATGTTTAACCCCTTGCCATGTCCAATATTAGGTTGGCCTTGGTGCTATCTCTGTTACAACTTGGACCCAGAAACTTGACGGTCATTGAATGACCATGAGTTAGGCTAGTTCGAGTTTGAATACAATGGTTAAGTTCTCCAACTAAAAGAATAGGTTAGTGTGCTATCTCTGTTACAACTTGGACCCAGAAACTTGACGGTCATTGAATGACCTTGAGTTAGGCTAGTTCGAGTTTGAATACAATGGTTAAGTTCTCCAACTAAAAGAATAGGTTAGGTTCTCCAATTAAAAGAAGTTCACGGATCATGGTAAACATCACAATAGAATCTCAAAAATCAATGAATAGGATGTAAGACAAACAAGATTTTATGCATAGATGAATGAAGATGAGACAAGAAGGATTGCTGCTTATATATCTCTTCACAGTGTTCTTACTGACTTACTGTTTCTCCTTCATCCCTTCCTTCGATCTTGTTTCCCAACCATGATTTCGGAGGAGTGATGAGTTATTTATAGAGGAGGCAAGCAGTCCTAATTTTAGATCCTCTTCAAATAGAGATCAATTCAAATTACTAAGATATTGTCAATTAAAATCTATGTATGAAAATTCCTTTCCCTTAAAAGAACTGGTCTCTTAAAAAATTTGGTCCTTCAAATTTTACAAATAATGCTTCCACTATGCACTCTAATATTGCATCTTTTATTTCATCAAAAAGATATTTGAGACTCTAATAGAAGCAAGAAGTTGTATACTACTTCATGTTCAAAATTAATGCTTTGATATCAATTATCATGATCTAACTTAACCAGATAACTAGCACTAACTTAATAAGCCTAGAACCATGTTGCCTAAGACACTTAAATTCAAGTAAATAGTGGTACATCCATCAACCCATTAGAGATAAACTCAACTCTTCTCCCAATTCTGATGTGGGACTAAAGTGAGGGTGTTACAATATGAATTATTGTACCTAGATATTAAATAGAGGTATTTTAGTTATTTGAATTGATCTCTAATTCAAGAGGATTTATAGTTAGGGTTGGCTGCTTCTATAAATAACTCATCACTTTCATACAAAATCATGGTGAGGAAGCAAGATTGAAGACCGTGAAAGAGGAGAAGATGACAAGAACATCACCAAAAGGGAAACATATGGGGATCCTCCTTGTTTCTTCTTCATTGGTTTAAGCAAGAAAATTTTGTCCTTTTCATTGATCTCTCACATCCTATGCATCGACTTATGGGATTTGATTGATATGTTTTCAATGATTAGTGAGTTTGTATTTGGTTGGAGATTTATACAATGTTTGTAATTTATCTTGTTGATTTTAAGTTCAGTTTTAATGATTTGTATATGGTTGGATTTCTTATAAAACTTATGCAATCTTTTTAGAACATTAAATGTTATTTAATTTTATGATTTGTATCTTTTGTTGATGATTTGTATTTTGAATTTCACAAGGAAAATTGTTGAGTTTTGTTTACATAATAAGTACATATATTATAGATATGAATTCAGTTTTATGTATTGAATTTAAAGTTTTTGAGCTATATAAGTTTTATGCTTTAATTTTTTTTGACAATAGATTTTTGAATTTATTTGATTTGATAAATTGAAATTTTATGAAATTTATTGTAACTTCGTCCTTTGTGGCTCAAGTCCAAACTAGATTAGATCAAGTATGGATCTGAACCAGTCATGTAAGTAGCATTGGGTCAATATTCAAAGGGTATGGGTTTGACACAGGATAGACTTTATAGGCTCAATGCATGTCACACCCAGTACGATCATCGATCTGATAGGGACCCAATCAGGCGGACCAAGTTCAGCAGGTACCAGATGATTAATTTATGATCCCCATTTGTCATGCTAGCTGTATAATCAGGTATGCAGGAGGATGATAAACCATACAATACTTTAAAAGCATCATAGACATTGCATTCCAGAAACAAAAAAAGAAATAAAGCACCTTTATTGATAGATTAAATAGTTATATGATAGCTTGGACTTGAGGGAAGTGGTTTGTCAACCTAAGTAGGTGTCTTAAAATATTTTTTCCTGTAATATAATATAAAGTTCTAATTATTAATTTGAATATCTAAATTTGGGATAAGCATATGTTATTTTAATATGATATGTTATATGCTTAACATATTAGTCTTGTTATAATTATCTGTTAATGTTATTTATGTTTATTTGCTTGTATCATGAGATGCTCATATAATGTGATTAGTTATTCAAATTTTGCTTTGTAACTGTTTTAGTTAGGAATTAGTGTTCATGAAAATACATAATTGCATAGCAATTGACATGGGAGTACATCGGTCAATATAATATGCTTGTATGTATTTTCAAGTTCTTGATAGTTCAAGTGACTTCGATGTAAGATTTCATACGGATGACTATAGGTTAGGCTGGTTTGAAGAAATGTGGTTAGACTCGACCTAGCCTAGGTCATGGCCATTCGGTAGATCTTCACATTCCTGGCTTCAGGTCGTGACATATGTGCTCCGCATTGTAAGCCATGTCAGTGCGACAAGGGAGTTATGTTGGGGTCAGGTTACCAACATGCCAGCACAATAGATACAAGAACTTTGGTGAAACTGTGTTTGGCCATTTATCACTAAGTCATCTCACACTGACTGCTATGTCATTGCCATGTCAAGATGCATGGATTATAATGTGAGATGGGCAACAACAGAAGTTGTGTCTGACAGAGCAAAACCCAGATAAGTCAAGTGATACAGTAAAACCACAAATTAAAGAAATTTCCTGATACATAAACACAAAATAAACAAATAGATTCATGAATATGTTGGCATCAATATAGCACCGTGTTGTCACGAACGGTCGTCGCGCACCCGCAACAACTCCGTTCAACGAACCGTTCGTCACTCACACCTGCATGTATAGCTGCTTGACAGCATGTTTTCTCTTGGTTTTGGGTAATTTTGCTTGTAAATATGTAAGTTCGAACACACTGCAGCGTTACAAAGCGACTGCTCACCGAACCGAGCAAAACAGCCCCAAAACAGCTCCGTTTTCGCGTGCCGCGAGAGGTGAGCGGAGAACTGCCTCCGTTCACCAAAATGTCAGCCATCTCAGACCCCAGGAACCCCCCGGGTGGCACAGGGCTGGATGGGGCTTCGGTTATATACCGAGCATTGAACCCTCTTTCGCAAGTTCGTACGTGACCTTTACGGGAACTTGTCTTCGCGCCCGGGACCAGGTGAGCGGCTGTTTGTGGGCTTGCAGCTGTTCGTTCATCCTTGAAAGCCTTGTTTTTCTCCCTCTCCCTCTTTTCTCTTGTGCACACAAGGTGTTCGTCGAATTGCTTGTAAAGCTTCCAATTTCGCGAGACTTCGGGACTAGTCCATTGCTCGTTCTTTCGAACTAACTCTCTTTCTCTTTTACAGGTCCTTCGGGACCTACGAGAGGTTACAAAGTGGGCTGATCCTTGCGGAGCAATATCGCAAGGGCGAAGCGCGACTTAGGCAACGCAAGCTAAGTTCGCGTCTTTGCCACAAGGGTGACTCGCGACTTAGGCGACGCAAGCTAAGTTTGCGTCTTTGGCCGCAAGGGTGCCTCACACCTTAGGCAACTCCAGCTAAGGTCGTGACATTGTGGTATCAGAGCGGGCAAGCTCTTCGATCGAACAGCGAACGAACTTCGCAACTTCGCCATGGCAAAGCATCGTGGCGAATCAAGCAAGACGGGGCAAGCCGGACCCTTGCCCCAAGCAGCCGCAGGTGGGCTG